AAATGCGCTACAATCTCCATGAGACGCGGACAAACACGGGCTCCCCCGTGCTGTGTTTGATGTGTAAACGTGCTAGGCCTCGGCCATCTGGGTGCTCATCCCCCCAGACGTGTCATCGTGGGTGTTAGGTTTTTATCTCGTCTAATCATATCAGTGGAATACAGAAGCGACCAAGTGTAGGAACCTATGTATAGCCCCACTGGTTATCATTTTTTTTCTATTCACGTTCTTTGTGTCCAAAAAATGTAGGGCTAAAGTACATGTCAATAGCAGCAATATCATGTACACTGAAAGGAGTTCAATTTGGTTTTATTTTATAATGTTCGTATTAGTCGCTTACTGTCCGTATCTTACACTTGGCATCTATATTGTAATCTAGCAATTATCTGCTGTCATTAAAAAAAAAAACCATTCACTCTAGTGTGATGTGAAGACGTGACTAATGGTAGTGATCCTTCACGATTGTGATACAACTCGCGGTTATTACAGCTGACGATGGATGGTCGTGGATGTAGGTGTCAACGCAAATTGATTTTTTAGTGCAGCATAGCGTGCGGTCCCCGTGTACTGCATGTTGACTTATTTGCTTGTCAGCTGGTGATTACCTCGGTGATAGGCGTCATGTCAAAGTTCAGACAACACTGTTTTATATTACACTAGCCCGGCGATTTATGTCCCTTTTACTGAGTGAAGGATATTGCTCTCCCCTGATCTAGCTTTAAAATGGTTAAGTAAGCTTAACCTTTTATCCAGCTCACCAGGTTGTATCTTTCTTGCTGAGCAAGAGAGTTGTGTCCCTTTGACTATCTCATTGCATTGTGTCCCTTTCGTGAGCTGGCTGCGATGTTCTCTTAAGTATTTTTAAAACTACTTTCCCTTTAACTGACTATGAGTGTTCCTAGGACTGACATCTATTCTATAGATCTAGGTATGTCCCTGCTACAAAAACCCATTTTCTTCCCGTCCCTGAAAAGCGGTACCAGTCATACGACGATCATATTTCGCTGTAGCTATTGATACGTGTGACTCATAGATCGTCACCGGCAATTTTTGACGGGTTACTCATACCCTCACAGGTAATAAATGTCATAGATCCAGGCCTGGGAAGTTTGAGCAGGGGGGAGTGGGTTGTATTGACGGGAGCTTTGTAAACACTAGTAGGTATCCACTATAGGAATCTGTGACTCTGTTACATGCTGTAATTAAAACATGAGCAGGCAAATACCTTCATGTTGTGGGCACATTAGCATCGTAATTATCTCTGTACGTCCTGTTGGACACGTTCAACTTACCTCCAGCAGGCTGTTTAACAATGCTAGTTAGAAAGCCTGAATTTATTTATAGCTACCTACCTACCGATGCTGCTTCCTCAGGTGTTTTTTTTTTCTACACTGCTGGCCAATCTAGACTAGATCTACTTCTTTATACTTCATGCTTAACCGTAGTTATCTTTTTAAAAAAAATAGACGTGTCTTGGTAGTTATAAGCCGGACTAGAAACGGAGATATACAATTTGCAGGTTAGCTGTTTTTTTTTGTTTATTCTTTCTACGTTAATTGTATGTGTAGGCCAGTAAGTATAAATAAATTGAACGTAAGCTAGAACGAATATACCAAAGTTAGTCACACACAACCGCATTAAATATTCTTTTTAAAGTCAGCCTTGTGCTGATTTATGCGTTGGGTGTGAACACGCGGTTCTAATTCTTTGGTGTATTTTTTTCTTTAATAGAGGGTGCGTAGTGGTATAGAACGTGTATAGTATTTATACTGTAACGTAATGTTTATAGTTTGTTTGGGTTGGGGGTACGGATATTAGGAACGTGTATATTCTTTATGCTGTAATGTAGCCAGTATGTAACCATGTTGCGAAATACAGGACTGTCATATGATCGCCCACACAGTGAAGTCCTCTGTGTAGTCACTTGTAAGGGGGGGGGGGGGGAGAGACGACAAAACGATGTAACAGGCCATTAGGGAGAAATATAGAAGGGCCATGGGCGATGATGGGTGATACTGGGACCTAAGGGGAGAAAGTACATCATTAAATCTTGCTGGTAGAGTGGGTGGGTGGGGGCCTTTGGCCATCTCAAATGTAGACAGATCTTTTCAGTTTTAGAATGATACTTCACCACCAGATGAGATAATTTTTAGTAGTTTTAATCCAGAATTGATTGCCTGTTAATATTAAGAATACATGTGAGTAGATGTTAAGTATGAACTAATAAAGTTAGAGACATGGCATTATAAGATGTCATTTTTCATTGGTGTAATTTTTTTTAAAATAAGGGTTTTTTACTTAACCCTGATAGAATAGATATAAGCAACCCGTTTTGTAACACTTGTACACATGCAACCCCGTTATAACAGGCGACCCATTTATGGGACAACAGTTCTCATATAACACCCTATAGACAAGCAACCTATTGATAGCAAAACTAGACAATCAAGCCTTATGTAAAACATTAAGTCACCTGCTTAGAATGACAGTCCACATATAGAACAATCTCCTATCTTAACATTCTGTTAATCCTGTCTTTGTTTATATTTTTTGTTTGTTTGCTGCAATTACTTCTTGAATTAAGACAAGACATGTAATCAGAGAAAACAGAATCACCCCCACTTGACATTACAGATCCTGTCACTGACCTACATTTTCTAACAACACTGAAAGTCTTGTCAACTTATTAGATGCAAAGACACAATGGCTATTAGGCTATTTATAGACATGTTGATGAAGACATGATTGATAAGATCGGCAGTATAAGCTCACATGGTAAACAATACAGGTGTCTGATCAACAAGGTGTTAAAGTGATAACTAGGGCTTGATTGATGTATTCACCTGTAGTTGTTGAACCTTTGTTTTAGTTTACCTGTGTGTCCTGGAGGCCAAGGTTAAATTGAAGTTTATTGTCTTGATTCTGTCTGGCACTGCACATTTATTTACATTTACCTGGATTGTTTTTTTCTTCTTTTGTGAAAGAACCAGTTTAAGTGGAGATCTGTTAAGTGTGAGTTATTGTCAAGTTAACTTTCTGTTTGGCTAACAGACCCATTTTACTGTAACAGTGATCTAGTCTATTCTATAGTGTAGAGTAACTTTTTTTCTGATGTCTTTACAATTATACTAAATTAGAAACACCCTACTTTGTTAACCTTTCACTCTTAACAAACCAATGTAGATTAACTAAACATAAAAATGTCAAACTTATCATGTAGACATATTGCAGACTTAACCTAAAGCATTTATACAGACATCTGTTCTACACTCCATATGTCACTAATACACCTGTGTACTCTTCATATTAAGTTACTTACAAATGTGTACTACATAAGTGTTGTACTAATTCTGTTTGTTTCATCATCTAAACACCAGGTATTTTAAAGCATTACCAGTGTCTTAAAATAAGCATTAAGTTTTTTTTGGCTCCTGCACCAGGGCTTATGTCTTTCATAAGTTGGACCATCTAATCTGTTTTCTTGTGTAGGGCCTATACAGTCTAGCTCAGTATCATGTGCCAAACATTTGACAATTTGTATGGAAACTGGTTCTTGTATTGACACCTCTTACATAACTCACATGATTTAAAAATAACTTTTTATAGCCAGTTGTATAGAGTCACTTTGTTGGCTTGGCTTGTGACATTGACAGGTTCAGTGTCTCCAGCTCTCTGATTTAGTTGGGCTTCATGGTTCAAGCTTTGACATTTGTATCCTTGTATGTTTGCTCTTTTTTGTACTGCCTCTTCAATAGGCACCAGAATTGTTGAGACCTATCTCCTCTATGATCTCCTTTATGACCTAGTGCTCTAGGCACTAGGAGTTCTAGCTCCTGTCAATATTAGCACCTGTATATCCTTTAGGTACTAGCAGCAGTGCTGTATTTACATTTAATGCTAAACAAGATACAGCTAAGTGCCCCCACTTTAATAGTGTGTCCCACCCACACCCCCAAAGCTTGTTTAAAATGAGCAGTAGTCATGTATACTTAATTACACTGCTCCAATATCTGTCTCAATAGCTTTGGTAACCTATAGAATATCTGGGCTTATAGTGTGGCTGCATAGCTCAAATAGCTTAGGACCCTATCAAATGTTAATCCAGTCCTAGGTACTAGGAACTACGCTGTGTAAACGTTGAGGACCTATATCTAACTTAAGAACTAGCACTGCCCTCTCATCTAAACAACTAGAATCTACACCTCCTATTCATACTACTTCTTCTATTATCTGCTCTACACGCTATTAAATGTTTCTGCTAGACATAGAGACATATTTTCATACACTCAATAAGTATCTTCTCTGCCTCTATTCTCCTCATAAGCTAGCTTCTATGTATGCATATGTTCCAGCTCCTATATATGTCTTCATTTTTATGAAACCTAAAACAGGTTGTTAACACCAGCTCCTATATATGTTCCAGCTGATCTCTTTTCTTCAATGGAATACAAAACAGATTGTTAAAACCAGCTCCTATATACGTTCCAGCTCCTATATCTCCTCTCTTTGCTAGAAGGCTAGAAAGATAGTTAAAAGCAATTAGTCCCCACGGGTCCATTGATTGGGTCATCTTGGTATCTCAGGTCAAGCATTATCTCTGCTGGAGAGACTGACTACAAACCAAAAGCCTTGTTAGCCAATACAATTGGGCGTTAGCTTCTCCAGTCTTTTAATGGAACATGAGCCTTATTAGCCAACATTCCCTGGGTTTGGGAAGTTATACAGAGAACTTATGGATTTTAGCTCATACTTTACCAGTTCGTTTAATGGTCTAGCGCTTAATTAAACATCAAAGTAGTATTCTGGTATTAGCTAAATAGAATGCCCATTATCTTGAGATGACGCTTTTCTGAATTCTCTATTTGGTTGGTTAAATGACAAACTTAATGTGGTCAAAAATTTTAGTTATGTTTATAGATTGCTGCTTTGGAAGAGATCTTGACCATGTGTTTGAATTATAGCTACAGGAAATCATTTTTCTTCAGCTGATACAGAATGTGTTTCGGTGGCCAGGGGTGTGTGAAGTCCAGTAGTATGTCAACAATGGCTTTGTTTTGTACTTTTGCTCTGCTGGTGTCTAGAATAGACTGATTTGTTATAAACATCAGTAAGTGTCTCGACTTACTGTAAGAATCTGTAACATGTTATGCGTGGTGATTTGATTCATTGAAGGATTCTATTAGTGGTGACTTGTTTGACTGTAGCTATTTCTAACAATACTTGAGACCATCCATCTAAAATGCCGGGGAGTGATAAAAGTGTGCCGGTTAATTCTTTAAGATCTACATCTCCTCTCCGTACCCTGGAAATGATGAGAAATTCTAATTCGTTTCCACTCTTACATCAGGTGCTGACCAGGTAATGTTTTGTTCAGTCTGACAGGTAACTTGATGATGTACCTTAGGGGAATCCTTCCACCAGCTGTGTGGTTGAAATGTTTTGTTGTTGTATTTCAGGAAAAAGTCTGAACCGAAGACAGGGACAAAAGACAAAAACACATCCAAGCTTCCATCTCGAGCAAGTCCACTTATGGGCAAGAAATCAATTCCTCTACCTCAAGAGTCCTCTACTGGAGGGACATCGGTCAAATCTGGCGTTGATGCTCAGCATGACGATGGTACAGTTACAGGAGCCAGCTCTGAGGATCTTGTGGTCAGTCATAGGCTAATAGAGCAGTCTGGACATTTTAGTTTTCTCTTGTTTTATTTGTGGGATGGCATGGTTGAGTGGCAGAGCACACAGTCACTAACAAGAAGGTCTCAAGTATAGTTCCCACCTTGTTTAGTAGCACATCTTTGAGTAGACCAGCTTAGATTAATACCATACTCAGAAAAGATGGCTGACCACTTCACATCTATATATATGAACGTTGCTGAAAATGATATTTTTCTACTTGATTCGCCATTGATTATACTTCTCCCCATGTGGTTCATATTTATTTTAACAATATGTTTTAAAACAATAAATCAACCATCAGAAATGTGTTGTAACTCAGTTGTACCAGAGTTGTAAAAGTTGCATGTCTGTGCACAGATTGACAATGGCAGTGATACTGGTACTGACGAGGTGGACAGCGGAGAGGGCAGCACCAGAACTAAACAGGCTCTGGAATCTTTGCAGGCCAAAATACAGAAAACCAAAGATGCCATCCGGAAGGAACAGAACACAAAAGAAGGTGGGGTAGAGTTTTTTCTTGTCTTACTATCTGCTGAATGACGCCAAGGAAACATAAAATGTCTTATTTAGCTGTACTTAAATTTTAAATTACCTTTTGAAATAGTAGGAAGTTTCCAAAGAATGAAAAATAACCTGGGTTAGTTAACTTTTATTGTTTAGTTAAGGCTGGCTATAAAAAAAATTGGCAACCGCATTCAGTCAGTTTGTTGAAGGTTTAAACAGCAATTTATTCTTTTTTTTATTTTAATTCTTTAGTTTAAGGAAATGCATGTAGAAACATCAGAAAGAATTTTTTATTTTAAGTTCAAATACAGGGTTTAGTTTATTTATGGCTACTCTTGAGCCTACAACCTTGTACCTGTTTCAGATAGTAAAGCAATTTAGCATGTCTTTCTTTTGCCAGAGTTCATTAATGTGTATTTATTTAATGGATTTTTTTTTTGCTACCAAAAGCATTACTCACTTTTGCTAGACTTAATTTTATAAATTTACAATAATTTATTATTGAGGGGTATTTACTCATGGCTTTTTTCTGTTAGCTATTAATACTGTTATGTATATTCACTATGGCAGCCAACATTGCATATTTACAAATGGCATTAATTTTCTGTCACCCATCATCATATATATGGGACAGAGTGGCCTAGCGGTAGAGAGCTGGACTGTTAAGCCGTAAGTCTAGAGTTCGAATCCGGGTTCAAGTCAGTAGACCGTCCCTGAGTTCACCCAGCTCTGATGGGTATCTAACTCACGCTAGGGAAGCTAAAGGCGGCTGGGCATAGTGCTGACCGCACTATCCCTTCATATGCCGAGGTCACAGAAACAAGTGAACTCTACTTCACTTGCCCCATAGACCGTCAGGTTGAAAGGGAACTTTACTTGCTTTACTTTACTATCATCATATATATTAAACATTGTGTATTTACAAACTGAATAATTTTGTACTCAACTAGCTATTGTCAATGAGTACCTACAAATGGCCTCAGACAAGCAGCCATCTGCACGTATCAAGGCTTTGTTTGAGAAGAAAAACCAGAAGTCCGCCATGAACATCATCCAACTCCAGCGGAAGCTAGAAAACTACCATCACCGCTTGGTGGATGTTGAGACCCACGGATACACGGGTCACAAGCAGGCCAAGGAGGTGTTACGTGACGTGGGTCAAGGGTTGAAGTAAGTTGGTCCTGCACACCTGCATGAGATTTTGTTTAGGTACTTGGTCTCTTCTCACAGTCTGTTGTTCTGTAGCTAGGCCAGAAAGTTTTCACACTTGTAATGACATTTGTGTGGTTTACCCCCCACCCCTCAATGTTTTGTCTTTGAAATGTTTGTTTGTTTTTAATGAAGGTACTTTTTCCCATCAATTTTTTTTTTTTTTTTGTGTGGTTTTGCAAAATTATGTGTATACTTGTTTACGAGATTCATTATATTTGTAAATATTTTAATACGGGATTCATTTGGTTTATAAATATTGACAGAATTGGAGTTGACTTAAACTACACATGAGAGTAAACAGGAATTTTAAAAGTAAACTGTCAAATGATGTTTCATGGGAAATTTTTTAAAAAGCAACGCTACATGAATTTTTAATTATTTTTTAAATTACTTCATTTTGAATCAAATGCAGTAACTATAAAATCAGTGATAAAAATATTTTTTATCTAATGCTTTTCTGTGAATTGGTTTGGTCGCATAAGCCTAATCTCATTTTTTTTTCTATACCCCAATATCTTTGAGCCATGGCTGAAAACTAATATCATCTAATTTTTACAATTGAAAGTAAAAAAAACTAAAATAAAGTATGAACATATGAAAGGTTAGTACTCAGTGACTCCCTGAGTATTTCACTGTTTGATGTTCATTCTTTCAGAAAATTTGGTGTCCTTGGAGCTAGAAAGTGAGTTGCTGTTCCTTGATTATGTTCATGTTTAGAGTTATTTTCCTTTGTTTGGGTTGACAGTTCCCTGTTGAAGTTCTTGATTGGACTAGTTTAGTTGCCATGTTCTGGGATATGTTTCCATTATTATGTTTTTAGTTCCGATTCACAGAACTTATCTTAGCTGTGTAGACAGACTGTCTCTGTTTTAATTCCAGATGAGACAGACTACCTTTTTGTCCTGTATGATAAACTTCTAACCAGTTTTGTTTTTGTATGGGATCACCTGAATTGTCTTTTGAATCAGATGCACCATCCTAAATTTAGTTACAAAACAGATGCACCCATCCTGTTTTTAATTTTCTATGGGAACGGGAATGCACCCATCTTATTTTTCCTGAAAGGGATACATTATTTAGGTTTTGTATAATATTTACCCACCCCATATTGATAACATCCGACACGTGTGACACGTTCTACAATCTAAAAAAAATGTGCAAATCCCAAATTTTTAAAGGGTAGTGCACATAGGTTCTTTTAGTTTTATTAAGAATTCAGCTACCCATTTTTTATGTATGGGATGCACCCACCCCATTTTAATTTTGTATGGGATGCACCCACACTAGTTTTTTTGTATGGGATGCACAAACCCCAATTTAATTGTGTATTAGACACACCCCTGTTATAGTTTTGTATGTTTTAGCTTTATATTGGACAAAGCCAAGTTGTTTAAGTTCTGTTAAAGAGAGCCGATTTTTTTTTCTTTTGATGGACTACCAATTCTAGACCTTCCTATAACTAAGCAGGACGAGCTTAATAAAATTATGTTTTACTCCATTACCTTATCCACCACAATAAGAGTTCACATTGTTTGTACTTTACAAAACATGAAACAAGTGTGTTATGAATAATTGATTAGGTGTACACCTAACTAATTAAAAACAACACTTGTCTTTTTTTTTTAAATCACTGAATCAATATCTGTGTGTAGTTTCATTTTGTTAGGTTGTACTTCACAGTGGTGTATAAGCCCAGTTTCTCACCTATTCACACAGTGAATGAAATGGCAGTTTGTTTTTATTATAGCACAAAGAATAGATACTATACTATGTCCGCCTAGTGGAAAAAAGTAATGATGTATACAATATTATTTCAGCCTGTCTAGTTCAATATTGACAGTTTTTGAAAAATAACAAAATAATATTAAACAATTTAACATCTGAAATAAAAAAAAGTGTATCCTGCCAACTCTGATCCTTACATTACAAAACCACAGCAGTATTATCATTTCAAAGCCTTTTAATGTCGCTGCCTTGCCAATGAAAAATTATGCAGACAAGCTATCTATCTAAAACAAAAATATTGTTTTGCTGTAAAATTTGTGGGCATGCTGGTTTTATGATAGAGCCTCCCATTGATTTTTTTGTTTTTGTTCAGTAGTTTCCATCACATAAAATTTATTTTTCATCACAAATCTTTACAGTTGTTAGTTTAACTGTAACCGTTGTGGGCTATACAACAAAGGAATGAATCTTCTGTGGTAAAACAATTTTGAATCTAAGAAAGAAAATTTTAAAATAATTTTTTAATAAAGATAAATATTTGTAGAATCCACCTTTCTGTTTTTACACCTCCCCTACCATAGGCCCATGACTCTCCTAGCATAGTCCCACGCCTCCCCTAGCATAGGCCCACGCCTCCCCTAGCATAGGCCCACGCCTCCCCTAGCATAGGCCCACGCCTCCCCTAGCATAGGCCCACGCCTCCCCTAGCATAGGCCCACGCCTCCCCTAGCATAGGCCCACGCCTCCCCTAGCATAGGCCCACGCCTCCCCTAGCATAGGCCCACGCCTCCCCTAGCATAGGCCCACGCCTCCCCTAGCATAGGCCCACGCCTCCCCTAGCATAGGCCCACGCCTCCCCTAGCATAGGCCCACGACTCCCCTAGCATAGGCCCGTGACTCCCCTAGCATAGGCCCATGACTCCCCTAGCATAAGCCCATGACTCCCCATTTGGAAACAGTTGGTGAAACTACAATATTTTTACCTAAGTTGTAATATTTTTGTTTATGGTGTTATCATCTCACTCTGTAGTTTGTTCAGGTGTTTTATCTTCATTGTCTCTTTAAAACATTGTGGGACTTGAATAATGTAACATCTGTATAGCGTTCAATCTCCACAACTGATTGCTCATGGTTCTGATATATCACAAATGATTGCCTATGATTGTTATATTTTGCCAACAGATTGCCATGGTTATGATATATCCAGCATTAGAACCCAAAGTGTAGGCTAGGTCACATAGCATTGTATTAATACATTTAACCTAGAAAAACTTTTTTCATTGCATTTTATAGCTAATTGCTATGACAATATACATTTGAATATGAATGTTGTTATACAATAAAATAGTAATTCTTCATCTACACTCCATGATATTTATCTTCCAGTAAATAAAGATTTGTATTTAACTTTTAAAAGTATTAAAATTAAAAATACATTTATATTAGTTTTAGAAGCCCCACTTTTATCTATTATTTATCAGACAGCGAAAAAAACTCAATATGTTTAATGTGGTTTTTTATGGTGCCTTTATATTAGTTTTAGAACCCCTGCTTGAATAAATCATTTATCAAACAACTAAAAAAAACTGATATGTTTAATTTCTGTGTACGAGCTATCAGAAACATACAGGTAAGATACAGAACACAACACCCACACACGCCATTTTTTTTTAACTTTGTTTTTTTCTCACCTATATTTTACCTGGTAAAAACAGCTCATGAGCTGGCTGTACCATTAACCCAAGGGTCAAAGGGTGCACAGTTCAAGGTTACTTGTTGAGTAATGGTGAATCTTCTCAACACATTACCTCATAACTTATCATCTACTAGATTCTATATATCAATGAAATTGTGTTATAAGCTATTTACAATCAGCATCACACTTACTGCAGATCTTTGCTTTGTAAAGAAGTTATGAAACCAGTCAAAACATTGATACTGTTATGCAACAAACTTGTTTTTAACATATTACACCTAACATTTTTAACCTATTTAATCATGGCTGGGTACTTAGAGAACATATTTCCACATATTTAAAAACTATTATCCTACTTTATCCATGCGTTGAGTCTGCTGTAATTCTCCATTCCTCTTTACTAACAGAGATGTAGTTGAAGGTGTTATTGGAGCCAAAGAGTGAGTGTAGTTTGTTTGATGTTGGCTTTACCCAGTGTGTAGTGTAAGCAGTGCTGGGGTACTCAGCTTGCATGCCACAGTTACACGCTATTGTCTACCTGTCCTCCTTTCTGGAATTACATAACAGTGCTGCTCTGCAGGCTGGGATGCCAGTTTGGTTTTTCCATAGTGGCATTCGCTTAGCTAAACTTGTATTACTATAGGGACATGGTGAGATTGTTGTGGTTTGTTCTGAGATTAGAAGCATGTTTGTTTTATTTAGAGGGTGGATGATAAAGTATAGCATTTTCCATGGTCATTAAGTATTCTGTGCTTTAGTAGTCATTTATATACAATTAATTAGCTTCAGTTTTGTGTACATGTTTTCAATGCTTGAAAGGCAGTTATTTAACCAATATATAGCAAGAGACATTTATATAATATATATGTTTATAGCAAGAGCTATTTATGCAAAATGTATGTTTAATAGATAGCATATTATTCAAACAATACATGCATTAAAATATGCCTGTGTAGAAGGTTTGAAATATTAGGGTATGTGAACTAGATGCATAAGTTGCATGAACTTGTTGGTTGTAAAGTTGCATGAACTTGTTGGTTGTAAAGTTGCATGAACTTGCATGTGTGCTCACATGTAGCTGTCTGGATGTTGCAGGTTGAGGTTGATGAACTTGTTGCATGTTTGTTAGTTGACAACCCTGACTGTAATACTGAGAAGGTTTTTGTAGCTTACAGTTAAAATATTTGTGTGTAACTGTATCAAGTAGATCACAGACCTAAGGAACATTTAAATTTAATGGTTGACCCATACCAAACTTTGTACTGATTAATAGTACTGCTAATTAATTTAAAATGCTAGACTAATATTGAGGCAGAACTTCATGAAATAACTAAACAAAATTAAAGGGTTATGAAGGTTTTACTATAATATGCTCTTTACTATGTACATTTATTTTTCACTCCCCATGTTTTTGTAAGTCTTAAAATATTCTCAATGTTTACAATTAGCATTGTTTCTTAAATATGTTGATTAAATGTTTCTCATATGTGTAGGGGGGGTGGAAGCAGGCGTTGTAACTGAAATAGCAATATTAACAGAAAGTGATATTTCAACGCCAAAGGTAGACAAAGGTACAGAAAATAGTCCAAGTAAAGACAAGCAGTCAGACACCAAACGGGTTTGGTTGTCTGACTGCTTGTCTTTACTTGGACTATTTTCTGTACCTTTGTCTACCTTTGGCGTTGAAATATCACTTTCTGTTAATATTGCTATTAATGTTTCTCATATAATTCCGCCTCATTATTAAATGGCTTTGTTAGCCTTTGTTTAGTTTCTGTTATTGACATATCTATATTTTCTTGGATTCTTGAAATAATTGCCATCATTTTGGCTTTTTTTTTTTTTAAAAAAAAAAAGCTTTTATCTATTTTAAAAGCTTGCTGAAAAGATTTTAGAACCAAATAGGTTTTTTCCTAAGATGTTTGTAAAATTGTATATTCACTCATCCCTGACTTGAACAAGCAGTCATTCAAAGTTGGCAATGTTTATAACTCACCTTACACTTTCGTCAAACTACATTAATCTTAATGGTTTCTTTTAATCACACTGCCTGATAAACACTGAAAAGAACAGTAGAGAAAAAAAATGTTGTTTTAGACCATTTTCTCCATGCCAAAACTGGCTCCATTCCAGGTCTAAGAATTCCCATAGCAACAGTTTCTATCAGTCTCATTGTAATCATTGATTTGTGTTATTGTGTTATTCCCATAGCAACAGTTTCTATCAGTCTCATTGTAATCATTGATTTGTGTTATTGACTTAAGTTTCAGCCCTTGTCTGTTGCCATAGCTACCCATAAGCTCCCTGTCTCAAAGTATGTCAAGGGAGGGGGAGGGGGGATGAAGTAATCTTCTTAATTATTCTCTTATTTCTATCTTATTCAATGTACATGTGTTTTAATTGTATATGTCAAGATGCACACCTGCCATATTAGACTTACCTATAGTCATAATAATAATAGTATGTAGTTGTTGTCAAACTGTTGACTTAACCAATACATGACCATTGGTCAAACTCTTGGTCAAGCGATGAACTATGCTTTATCTTACCCCATACCTTTAAGTTATAATGTAGTTCATTTCCTGAATTTTTGTATGATGATTATTATTACACTACAACCTATTATTTATTATTTGGATATTTTTTTTCTACACTTGTAAGCTCTGGCAAATTTTATCTTGCATAAAAGCCTCTATCCCTAGTCCTTAGCTTAGTACATGGTCCGACATGGTTTCTCTAGTTTTTAAGTTGAGGACACATAAAACATGTTACTCAACTCACTAAATAAAAACATCCAGTCACCATATTGCAGATCACATGAAGAAGCTGTTACTTAACATCCAACATATCTATTTTGTAAAATAAACTCCAATTGTTGTATCAATATGAATAGGAAAATGTCTTAAGAGCTTGAGAGAGCCTGGGTCCAGCTACCTAGCCCTGTTGTTTTATGATGTTAAATGACACAGCCAGATAAACTGTCAATCTCTTTCATCAACAGCACTATTGTTTCCATCAGATAAACTGTCAATCTCTTTCATCAACAGCACTATTGTTTCCAAGCCCAAAGAGTTTGCACATTTAATCAAGAACAAATTTGGCAGTGCAGACAATATAGCACAGCTAAGTAAGTTTTATGTAGGTATGTATTGTCACTTGGTCAGAGATTTTGGTTGCCTGTTTGCTTCAAATGTATTTGCACACTTGCCCAAAATTCAGTTTCCTTTTATTCTTCATTTAGTTTTATTGTAGATGTTGTATACAAAATGTATTTAGTTTCTAACTTGGCCGCTTTGTTTTAAACATTAAAAAAATAACAACAAATTTAAAATGTATCAGTAGTTGAAGCAAACAAAAGATTACGCCTGAGTTATTGCCCCTTTTCTATTGATGTACATTATCCCCTGCACAAAAAACTGTCAAAAACATTTCCCCCCCCCCCACCCACCCAGTCATTTGAAGATAAAGATAGCCATAGCTTAGGTAGAAGTTGTGTTAAAATAAAATAGTTAGGGACCAGATTTGTTAAATGAATCAATATTTTTAAAAAACAGTTTAAATATCTCTATTAAACTGAATTAGCACCACCCTATTCTAAATCACTGTGATATGTGCACACCTTTTTCACACTTTAAGTTGCATTTTTAATGTTAAACTTAAAGCCAGTTTGAGAAAAGGATAAAGGGAATTAACTTGTTGAAAAATTTAACAATTTTCTTTCCCAATTAAATTGGGATTTAATTATTAACAGCTTTAATTAACATTTTCAATAATCATAACATAATTATAATTTTAAAAAGCAAACATACATCCTGTTAGGGATGTTATAACTTATTTATTATTTGGTATCCCTTGTTCTGAGGTGTTTGTATTTTCAAATTATAAGAATTTGCACATTATAGGATGATATTAAACCATTTAACTAGTTCTAGTTTCATTTATTCAATGCTTATTTTAACAACTTTTTTTCTAAATCCTATAAAATATATGCTTTAACCATTCTTCTATGCACCATCTGTCATATTAATATGATCAGAAACAAACATGCTTTTATTTTTACATATGCAAAAGATGTTCTAACATATTTATACTTTTTATATGTTGTTGACCATGTTTCTAATTACTTGTATGGTAAAAATGACTAACAGTCTCTGGTTTTCTTAAACCAATTTCACCATTGGTCAGAATTGGAATCTCTCCCCCCCTCCCCCCCTAATTGGGAATCCCAGTAGTGGATATTAACTTTATTTTTAGGTTCTATATTTAGGTTTTTAAATTAAAAATTATAACTCAGTCATTATTGTGTAGCTCAGACTTTTATTGAATTTTGTTTATTGTTGAAAATTATTAATTAAGATAATTATGTAAATATCGCATTACATTTGCTCACTAAAATGCTGTTGAACTTTAAGATTGTATTGTTACATTATTGAAGTCATTTGAATTCATACCCATAAATTTGTCTATAGTCTTTTAAAAACAAATGTTGAATTAATTTCATTACTAGAACTTGATGACACCAACACAACAGAGACCAACATAGAGGGGAAGTCTGGGGGAACTTTACCTGCAAGGTGAGGATCTGGGCCTGTAGACCAGGTTCAGTCTTTGAGGGGCATTTATACAAGGCAGTGGTGGGTCATTGAGGCTATGGGCATTTAGACAGGGCAGTGGTGGGTCATTGAGGCTGGTGGGCATTTAGACATGGCAGTGATGGGGCATTTAGGCGAGGGGCATTTAGACAGGGCAGTGATGGGGCATTTAGGCAAGGGGCATTTAGACAGGGCAGTGATGGGTCATTGAGGCTGGTGGCATTTAGACAGTGATGGGTCATTGAGGCTAGGGGCATTTAGACATGGCAGTGATGGGTCATCAGTGGTGGGTCATTGAGGTTAATGTGCATATAGACATATAGACAGGATTGGCCTTTAAAAGCTTGGACATGTACTCACAGCAGTAGTGACCCTAATCTATTTACTAGTCCAATACCTGAAGATTCTGTGGCACAACTTGTGGTTGTGAAGCGTGGGTCAAGGATCTAGCAAGAACCCCAGAGTTGACATGTTGACAGGTCCATGTTTTGAATGTCCCCAGCTTCAAGTACACGAGTGATGACGAGACTTCTAGTGTGACTTCAGGATCAGGTCTGAATGCTACACACGCCTCACCCAGCCACCAGGCACAGCCCCAGGTCAACACGGCTCTACTGGAGCCCTTGAGGAAGGAGATCCTGGAGGTCAAGGACGCCAACTATAAAGTGAACGATGTCTTGCTGAGGTTAACTGAGGAGTTTGAGGATTATAAGGTAACTAGTGCTGTTAGATTAAAAGCAATAGATTAGGACGCCAACTATAAAGTGAACGATGTCTTGCTGAGGTTAACTGAGGAGTTTGAGGATTATAAGGTAACTAGTGCTGTTAGATTAAAAGCAATAGATTAGGACGCCAACTATAAAGTCAACGATGTCTTGCTGAGGTTAACTGAGGAGTTTGAGGATTATAAGGTAACTAGTGCTGTTAGATTAAAAGCAATAGATTAGGACGCCAACTATAAAGTGAACGATGTCTTGCTGAGGTTAACTGAGGAGTTTGAGGATTATAAGGTAACTAGTGCTGTTAAATTAAAAGCAATAGATTAGGACGCCAACTATAAAGTGAACGATGTCTTGCTGAGGTTAACTGAGGAGTTTGAGGATTATAAGGTAACTAGTGCTGTTAGATTAAAAGCAATAGATTAGGACGCCAACTATAAAGTGAACGATGTCTTGCTGAGGTTAACTGAGGAGTTTGAGGATTATAAGGTAACTAGTGCTGTTAGATTAAAAGCAATAGATTAGGACGCCAACTATAAAGTGAACGATGTCTTGCTGAGGTTAACTGAGGAGTTTGAGGATTATAAGGTAACTAGTGCTGTTAAATTAAAAGCAATAGATTAGGACGCCAACTATAAAGTGAACGATGTCTTGCTGAGGTTAACTGAGGAGTTTGAGGATTATAAGGTAACTGGTGCTGTTAGATTAAAAGCAATAGATTAGGACGCCAACTATAAAGTGAACGATGTCTTGCTGAGGTTAACCGAGGAGTTTGAGGATTATAAGGTAACTAGTTCTGTTAGATTAATAAGTTAATTAATTAATTATTATAGGTAGGTTAGATTAAAAGCAATAGATTAGGACGCCAACTATAAAGTGAACGATGTCTTGCTGAGGTTAACTGAGGAGTTTGAGGATTATAAGGTAACTGGTGCTGTTAGATTAAAAGCAATAGATTAGGACGCCAACTATAAAGTGAACGATGTCTTGCTGAGGTTAACTGAGGAGTTTGAGGATTATAAGGTAACTAGTTCTGTTAGATTAATAAGTTAATTAATTAATTATTATAGGTAGGTTAGATTAAAAGCAATAGATTAGGACGCCAACTATAAAGTGAACGATGTCTTGCTGAGGTTAACTGAGGAGTTTGAGGATTATAAGGTAACTGGTGCTGTTAGATTAAAAGCAATAGATTAGGACGCCAACTATAAAGTGAACGATGTCTTGCTGAGGTTAACTGAGGAGTTTGAGGATTATAAGGTAACTAATGCTGTTAGATTAAAAGCAATAGATTAGGACGCCAACTATAAAGTCAACGATGTCTTGCTGAGGTTAACTGAGGAGTTTGAGGATTATAAGGTAACTAGTGCTGTTAGATTAAAAGCAATAGATTAGGACGCCAACTATAAAGTGAACGATGTCTTGCTGAGGTTAACTGAGGAGTTTGAGGATTATAAGGTAGCTAGTGCTGTTAGATTTAAAGCAATAGATTAGGACACCAACTATAAAGTGAATGATGTCTTGCTGAGGTTAACTGAGGAGTTTGAGGATTATAAGGTAACTAGTGCTGTTAGATTTAAAGCAATAGATTAGGACACCAACTATAAAGTGAACGATGTCTTGCTGAGGTTAACTGAGGAGTTTGAGGATTATAAGGTAGCTAGTGCTGTTAGATTTAAAGCAATAGATTAGGACACCAACTATAAAGTGAACTATGTCTTGCTGAGGTTAACTGAGGAGTTTGAGGATTATAAGGTAACTAGTGTAGAGTTCACATGTTTCTGTGACCTCGCCATATGAAGACATAGTGTGGTCAGCGCTATGCCCAGCCGCCTTTACTTTCCCTAATGTGAGTTAGGTACCCATCAGAGATGGGTGGACTCAGGGACTGAGGAGTTTGAGGATTATAAGGTAATCAGTGTAAAGTTCCTTTTCAAACCTGACGGTCTATGGGGCAAGTGAAGTAGAATTCACTTGTTTCTGTGACCTCGGCATATGAAGACATAGTGTGGTCAGCGCTATGCCCAGCCGCCTTTACTTTCCCTAATGTGAGTTAGGTACCCATCAGAGTTGGGTGGACTCAGCGACGGTCTACTGACTTGAACCCGGATTGGAACTCTAGACTTACAGATTAGCAGTCCAGCTCTCTACCGCTAGACCACTCTAGTGCTGTTAGATTAATTGGTTAATTAGCATAGGTAGGTTAGATTAAAAGCAATAGATTAGTTGCAATTAAGGTTGATGCAGTTGCGTTGGATGCAATTAGGAAGTAATAGGTGCAGTAATGTAAGATGTTTGTAGTGCAGGTTGTTTTAAGGCTTAATTATTAATTAGTTCTGTTAACGTGAAGGTAATTAAGTTCAGAAAAAGGTCTTTTTATTTGCCAATTTGCATGCAGCTCCTAAAAAAACAAGTGATGCTCTTTTAATTAGGTGCAAAAACTATGTTAAGGAATCAGTGAAGACATCTAACATTTGTTTTTATGTTGTAACTGCAGTTTAAAACTTCAGAGCTATAACTTTCAACATAGCTCACTAAAGCGTTAAGCAGAATTAATTATTAAGACATTTGTTTACTCAAAAAATGGCCCACACCTGGGCTGGAAGATAATTAGTGCGATTAGATCATCAGTTCTGTAATGCCAGAGGTTAATTAGTGCTGTTAAGTTCAAAAGTAATTAGTTCTTTTTTAAAAATTATGTAATAATTGCATTTACATTTTGCTGAGAATATTATTATTTTACATAAAAACAAAATTTCCTTGTTAACTATTCCTGAGCAATAAGCTAAAATGAGTGCTTTTGTGCTTATCAAGTACAATCTGTTGTATTGGGTTTTAGTCTGAAGAGCTGATTGATGTTTAGTTACCTCTAATTCAATAAACTAAAGAAGGCAGTTCAGCATCTCTTCATTTCTTTATAAATAGTACATTGATATCTTGGCTTGACATTAACATTATGTTCACAACCTGACTCTACTGGAGATAGACAACTAAACAGTAACTAGGACTTCAACTATCTAATTATCACTAAACAATGATTATAACTGAATAACAAATTTTTCTGGTTTTCCATGGGCTTCATATTTCTATCTCCTTACCAACCTTACTGATTCTCTTTCTTGATTATTATTGATTTCTATCATAAACTTAAATTAATTATTATTGGCTCTTATTTTATAAAGTAATTACAAAATACTAACCTCAGCAATAGATGATTTATTATTTAAAAGCTAATACTAAACCCATGGGAAGCTACTCTGATGTTTTTTACAATATTTTTTTTAAATTAAAAAATATTATAAATCATAACAAGTATAAATATGTGCTCAATCTGTTCTTCTGTTGTTAGAACTCCCTTACCCCTATGTAATCAATATGTCCTTTATGTGAACACCCCTTCCTGTTATTTATATGAACATCTCTACCCCTACGTGACCAATCTATCCCCTACTCCCCCAGGTACAAATGCAAAATGAAGTCAGCATGTTACGTTCACAACTGGAAGATGAAAAGTTCAGAGTTGAAAGGTTAGAAGAGCAGCTGAATGACCTGACAGAACTCCACCAGCACGAGGTGTTGAACCTGCGGCAGGACCTGACATCCATGGAGGAGAAGATTGAGTACAGGCTTGATGAGAGGACGACTGATTTGTCCGATTTGGTGGACAGTGCCTCAACTAGAGTGAGTACTTGGTATTGTGGGCTCAGGTTCAGTCAACCTTATTTTTAAAAAAAAGGTTTAGGGCATCTGTATACAGCTTTCTAAGCCTATCCTTAATCAAAACCTTAGAATGACAAACCGAAGATTTACTGTAGTTTTTTATTTTAATAATTTTTTTTTTGGGGGGGGGTGTGTTCACGTGCCATTTACCATTTGTTTTGCTGTTATTTTTTGTTGTTGTTTACCATTAGTTGTTTTGTTGTTTATTTTTTGTTTTACTGGTACCATTTGTTGCTCTCTTTATCTTTTGTTTTATTGTTAATCTTTTGTTGTGGTGTTAAAAAAAATATGTGTACCTTTTTGGTTATGCTGTTCTATTTTTTTGTTGTTACCATTTGTTGTTGGTGCTGTTTACCATTGTTTACTATGCTATTTACCATTTGTTGTTAATGCTGTTTACCATTTGTTGTTAGTGCTGTTTACCATTTGTTGTTGGTGCTGTTTACCATTTGTTGTTGGTGCTGTTTACCATTTGATGTTAGTGCTGTTTACCATTTGTTGTTAGTGCTGTTGTTTACCATTGTTTATTATGCTGTTTACCATTTGTTGTTGGTGCTGTTTACCATTTGATGTTAGTGCTGTTTACCATTTGTTGTTAGTGCTGTTGTTTACCATTGTTTATTATGCTGTTTACCATTTGTTGTTAGTGCTGTTTACCATTTGTTGTTATTGCTGTTAACCATTTGATGTTAGTGCTGTTTACCATTAACTTTGCTGTCTCTTGTGTTCTAACTTCTCTCCCACTGTTTCAGATCTCAAGGCTGGAGCAGCAACAGCAGCAGCAACAGATCCTGTCTATGGAGATGGTGGAGAATGCAACCTTCAGGACCATCATCTCCAAGCTGATCAATGTGGTGCTGGCCATCCTAGCGGTCATCTTGGTCTTTGTCAGCACTGCTGCAAGATTCTTATCTCCCTTTGTTCACTCCACGTAAGTAGGGACCTAGTATGGTACATACATTTGGGGTTCTGATTTTATCTCTATGTAAATTAGAATTAATTTTTAATACAGCACAAGATAGACAGGGTTACTGATGATTACATTGTCAAATAGCAATCCAAGGATAACACAATTTATAACAAGAAAAATAACACGATATTCAGTTTATTTGAAAAAATACAACCCAGTGTACTTTTTTTATTATCATTTTTAAGCTGATTTACAAGCTGTCTAATTTACTTAATGAAGACAACTAAATTTACTAGACTGTTTAGTGCTGTACCATTGACTTAGCTATGTCTTGTTTTATTATATTAATCTATAAATGGTGTCAGGTTGTGTTTTTTTTTGGGGGGAACATTTTACCTCTTGCCTCTACATTGTCAGACCTCAAACCCTAAAAAATGACATTACACATCAGCTTACTTCCTTCAAAATTGTAGTTTTTTGTTTTTTTTAAACCAGCTATTTCTTTGTAAAATATTCTTTGTGCTTGGTAAATAAATAAATTTCTGATTTACAAAAACTGCTTTTTGAAATTGAGTCAATAAATAACATTACTTTTTAAAAAGCTTAAGTGTGTTGGTATCACACATCATCACTAAATTCTGAGCTCCCCTCCCCCTACGAATGTGACATTGTTTATGAATGACTCCTAAGTATCAGAAAACTGCTATTATAATCCATATCCACTATTTTCTTTACCTTATTTTTGTATTGTGTGTTACAGGTCCAGACTGGTGCTGTCTGTTGTAGCCACGGTGCTAGCCTGGCTGATCTACCGCAACTTCTCCACCATTGAGTCCACCACCAGCTCTATATGGAACTTTTTCTCCTGGCCCTGGAGTTGATGACAGACTTACAGGAACCCCCACCGTAACAGTATTTATGAGAAATGTCTTGTACATAGTGTTTTCAGTTCTTCCTCTGGGTGGCGTGGTGTCCTTGTACAGGACATAAGGTCCTGGCTAGTTGAAGGACATTTCATGAGGAGCTGTATAGGTGAAGGACATTTCATGATGTTCTGTCCAGTTCAAGGAGAGGTGCCTGCTCTATTCAACTCAAGGACACTGGCCATAATTTCAACCAGACCTGGTCACTACTGGCGGATGTGAGCTGGATGCGATGTGTCAACACTGAACTACTAGACAAGGGCTGTAATGACACGAGGGCTGTGACGACACTACTGACAGATGAAGGCTGAACACTACTGACAGATGAGGGCTGGACACTTGATGCTTTGATAGAACACAAATTTGTACTGTAGTATTGGTATGACCAGACCTGACAACTCGTCATGGCAATACTGCCAAGCTGACATTGCTGACAACTGCCAACCTGTGATGGCAGTACTGACAACTGCCAACCTGTGATGGCAGTACTGACAACTGCCAGGAACAATGTAGCAGGTTAACACTGAACTTTAAAAAAAAAAATAAAACCACATAAAACTGGTTCCTGTTGCTACTGACTCTAAAGCTCAGGGTCGGGCATGTCTAAAACACCGGCTGTGTCTAGCACTGTGGAAAACATTTCAACTGATCCAGATTTTTTAGTGTCCATATTTTTTTTCTGTACAGTATCAAGGGACAGCACCCTGTAACAAGGGACACAACCCTGATGTTAGATGATGATCTCTACAGACATTAGTTTACTGCATGTACATGAATAGACCATGTTGTATTATTAACTGAGATTTTTGTAAAGTTTTTTTTTTCTTCTACTTTCAACAATGTGGATGTAAAATGAAATAAACACTGTTTTGTTGTGCCATGCCTGCTGTATACCACCTTCCATTGTTCTGCTTTGGTCACCGGTCAACTGGCTGGCTATGTGTTAGTAGCTGGTTACAGTGGCAACCATAATTAGTCATTCAAAAAGCTTTTTTAAAATTTGAAATGTACCACTTTGAAATAACGCTTTAGGAAAAAAAATTGCCCCCCTAAATTTACATGACATTGTTCTATAAACCTATATATAAAAGTACCGTAAAACATTTTTTTAGGGTGTGATAATGTCACAAAATTTAGTTGGCCTGTCTCCAGCTACTATAGGAATTTATTTCTGACCTTAGGCTACTTCGGCCTAAATTCTTTTTAGTTGTTCTACAATGTTTGTCTAATGACGTTTTATAATTCCTCAACATGTTTTGTTACTTTCCATGACAAATATTTTATTTGTACATTGTTATCACAATTTTCTTCCTGAAATTGGGCAATATTTGCCTGTGAGTTATCTCCCCTCATCCCATATTTCATGTGTTGTGTCTGTTCTCAACATTTCAAACCTTAGATTTTAAAACAAAAAAAATGTAGTGCGATATATATAGAGGATGTTATTGTATACTAAATAGAATTACCATGATAGGGTAGCAATGTATACACACAAAAAATATTAGCCTAATTCTTACTATTCCTTGTTGAGTATTTATAACCTTGGTTTAGAATCTGACATGTACTTGTTCACTGGTGGATAGTTTACTGACCAGTAGATGACCACTGGTGGATAGTTTACTGACCGGTGGATAGTTTACTGACCAGTAGATGTCCACTGGTGGATAGTTTACTGACCAGTAGATGTCCACTTGTGGATAGTTCACTGATTAGTAGTTGACCACTTGTGGATAGTTCACTGATTAGAAGTTGACCACTTGTGGATAGTTTACTGACCAGAAGTTGTCCACTGGTGTATAGTATACTGACCAGTAGTTGTCCACTGGTGGATAATTTACTGACCAGTAGATGACCACTGGTGGATAGTTTACTGACCAGTAGATGACCACTGGTGGATAGTTTACTGACCAGTAGATGACCACTGGTGGATAGTTTACTGACCAGTAGATGACCACTGGTGGATAGTTTACTGACCAGTAGATGTCCACTGGTGGATAGTTTACTGACCAGTAGATGACCACTGGTGGATAGTTTACTGACCAGTAGATGACTACTGGTGGATAGTTTACTGACCAGTAGATGTCCTCTGGTGGATAGTTTACTGACTAGTGGATGTCCACTGGTTGATAGTTTATCCAGCATTGGACAACTACTTGTTAATGACTATAACATGTTTACACTGGTGTTGTTTTCAGTCAGGTTCCCTTATATTTTTTTTCTTAGACCAGCAGCAGAAACCTGTTGGTCAACTAAGTACAATGTCTAAAAGAATTTTTAGTTGTTAAATGAATGGGTCAGTATTTTTCTATCTGTAGCAATTGTTTAACTAAATGACACACCAGAATGGACCAAGTTTCATGTGGGCTGGTCACATTGATGCTGTGTTCATTGGTTATAGGTCACAAAACAGACACACTTGTAATTGTTCATTTGTTTTTTGTGTTAGACTGGTTCTAACTGGTTGGACTGGTTCTAACTGGTTGGACTAGTTCTAACTGGTTGGACTGGTTCTAACTGGTTGGACTGGTTCTGACTGGTTGGACTGTTTCTAACTGGTTAGGAATGGTTCAAACTGGTTGGACTGGTTCTAACTGGTTGGACTGGTTCTAACTGGTTGGACTGGTTCTAACTGATGGACTGGTTCTAACTGGTTAGACTGGTTCTAACTGGTTGGACTGGTTTGGACTTGTTGGACTGGTTCTAACTGGTTGGACTGGTTCTAACTTTTTGGACTGGTTCTAACTGGTTCAGACTGGTTGGACTGATTCTAACTGGTTGGACTGGTTCTGACTGGTTGGACTGGTTTAACTGGTTGGACTGGTTCTAACTAGTTGGACTGGTTCAGACTTGTATTTTTTTTTCAAGTTTGCTGAAGTAGTGTAAAATAATTTTCAAGGAGCCTTTGCTTAAAGCATTTGTTATTTGGGCTACAGCATGAATTGTTTTATCATTGACTCAACTAATCTGTAATAATTGTCTACTTGGTCTTATAATGGTAACAGCAGTATACTTATTTAGGCCAACATTTTCATTGATAGTTTTTTTTAAGACAAGTCCATCTGTCTGTGAGTATATCAGCGTTAACAACTCTAGGCATGTATAAAGTGTACGCTGGTCTCTCTCAGGTTTGGGCAGTGGGGTGGTCACAGTGGTCAGATCTGGTGGAGTGTTGCCAGCAATCTATGCTGGTGGTGTTAGGGAAATGATGATTTTAGAGGCAAGATTCCATTTGTGTGAAAACACCCGGTGTCCATTCTATTGATATTATAGCTAGTAGTTCTAGCTAGTGGTTTTATGTGTACAGCTTTATTTGGTAGTTTTATGCATGGAATATATATATACCATATATATATATATATATACCATATATATATATACCATATATATATATATATATACCATATATATATATATATATACCATATATATATATATATATACCATATATATATATACCATATATATATATACCATATATATATATATACACCATATATATATATATACCATATATATATATACCATATATATATATACCATATATATATACCATATATATATATATTGTATGCATATATATATTGTATATATATGTATTTTATATATATATATATATATATATATATATATATATATATATATATATATATATATATATATATATATTTTATATATATATATGTATTATATATATGTATATATATGGCATATATATACATATATTGCATATATATATATATATATATATATATATATATATATTTACAAACATATATATATACATGTGTATATATATATTAAGAAGTAAATGGATATGTCTATATAATAAAAGTTACAGCTGTAGTTGTTTTGCTTATTTATGTCAGAGGTCATAATATGTAAAAATATGGCATGTTGGATTAGGATTAAATATGGCCCTGACCTTTGTGTATGATCTTGACCTTTGTAAACTTTGATGCTGTTTTTATCCTATAGTTTTTTTTCATTATGACTCTAAAAACCTAGTCATTTTGACTGAATAAATTTATGAAAATTAAGACGAGTGGTGTTTTTGTGTGTGTACAGCCTGTAGTAATACTTGAGGTCCATATTGTTTATCAGCTACAGAATGGATTTGCTTGTAGTTCAGACTATTCATGTCTGTTGATGTTTGTAGTTTTGTTTTTGTATGTTTGTTTACAAATGAAGTAGAGTTTTACTCAACTGTTTCTTTAATTTTGCAATATGAGTGAATTGTGTGTTCCTGATCTGCCTCATCCCTACTAAAACCAGGTACCCTGGTCTATGGTTCGACTCACAGATGGATACAACAATAACAGCATCAGTCTTTTCTCATGTAGAGGACTGTCATATCTCTATCCCTATGTGATTTCTTTTTCACGTCTCACACGGTGCGTCCACCACCCACCTTAAACACGCCTTTGCTACCACACCTAACCCCACTAGTATTCAAAAGTTATAGAAATGTATTATGTTGATGACAACATCGTTGTGCTAATTATACTGCATCATACGAGGCAGAGAAGCCAACGAAAGCAGAAGTGAATATCGCAACTCGCCAAGCCACTAAAGAAGCCAAAAAAATTCTTTAGAAATTAATTTTACAATTCATAGCTGCCTTGATATGTCTTCGATTTCTTTTAATTTTGTAAATGTATTTACTGTGTCTGTATGTAATAACATAAATAATGGATCATATCTGTATGTGTGTGTATATATATATATATATATATATATATATATATATATAAGCATCCCTGTGGAGCATAGGGACGCAGCCACACCTCTCCATCGTTCTCAATTTTGGGCGCTTACTTCATGTTGGGCCCACGACATTCTGAGACTTCTGTTTCACAAACAACTTAACTTTTCCAAATTCGTTTGCTAGTTGGTTTACACATGGTATGTCCAATCCATCCCCATTTACGCTTTTTGTATTTCTTTGCCAATAATAGGGCTTGCCCAGTTTTTCTCCACAGTCAGAGGCGTAGCGACCCCTCCCGGGGACAAATTTTCGATTTGCACACCCCCCCCCCCAAACTTTCGATTTGCACCCCCCCCCCCTCGAACTTTTCATTTGCACCCCCCCCCCCGTCAAGCTTTCAATTTGGCGCCCCCCCCCCCCCCTCCTAAGGTCGGCGCCCGGGGACATATGTCCCGCCACCCCCCCCCCCCCCTCGCTACGCCTCTGTCCACAGTACGTGTGTGTGCGTGCTTGCGTGTGTCAAACTGGGGGGGGGGTGTGCTTTCGTTAGAAAAATTGTTGTTCGAAGTCATAAGCCTCATGTGTTCTTGTTTGACGGTGAAGGAAGACAAGATGTTGTCCACAATACACCAAGACAAATGTAAACAAAAGCTTTGATGGGGGTTTTGATTAACTTTATTCGGTCAACAATCAGACCAAACATTTTCTACCACGGCCAAAACTGATTGTTAAATTTAAAAAAAAAAACGTTTCGATTTCTAAACTGGCTCGAACTGCGCATGTCAGCGACGTCACTTCCCGAACCTGGGATTGGGACAGCTGCAGACGTACTTGAAGGCCATCATGTTGAGGTAACAGATCCCGCCACATTTGGCCTGGCACAGTTGGATGCAGGGGCGAGCACTCAACATGTTGTAGTTGCCCTGGTCATCGTCCAGTGGCGCTGGGGATAAAAGGGAGATAAGATGAGGAAATGGATAAGATAAAAGGGAGATAAGTTGAGGTAAGTGCTAAGATAAATATTAAAGGGAGATAAGAGGATGAAAGTGGTAAAATAAAAGGGAGATAAGATGAGGTAAGTGTTAAGATAAATATTAAAGGGAGATAAGATGAGGTAAGTGCTAAGATAAATATTAAAGGGAGATAAGATGAGGTAAGTGCTAAGATAAATATTAAAGGGAGATAAGATGAGGTAAGTGCTAAGATAAATATAGGTAGATAAGATGAGGTAAGTGCTAAGATAAATATTAAAGGGAGATAAGATGAGGAAATGGATAAGAATTAAGGGAGATAAGACTGGTAAGAGACGAAGAACTTTGTAACCGCAG